CTACTACTACTACTGCTACTTCTACTACTACTACTGCTACTGCTACTACTACTGCTACTACTACTACTACTACTACTACTACTACGACTACTACTACGACTACTACTACTACTACTACTGCGACTACTACTGCTAATTCTACTACTCTTCGTTGGGTTTAGAGCCGGGGCATTCAGACTTGCCGACTGCAGCAAGGGCGACTTGGGAAGAGTAGACCGACACTACCTTTTAGTAATTTACTAATATCAGAGTGCTACCATTGCCATAGTTCAGAACGCAGCAGTTAGCATCAAGAGGCCTCTCCCGAATTTTTGTGAGTCTGCCAGCTTGACGGTTTAGGGCTTCGGGTGTAGATGACAAATCAGCGCCACAGGCACGCTGTTTCAGTTTCTTTGTTTTAACTCTTCCTGCTTGCCGAATGTGGGAGAAGCGCTCATGTCTAGCGGCGTGTCGACACTTGAAGTGGCGCCGGTTGCACTCGGAAACCTGAACTTTGAAGCCACGCTGTATAGGGTAGCATCGGTGGTATCTGGCAGTATGTAGCTACTTGTGGTTCAGCATGCTAGTAGTACCAGAGTGGCTTTGGAAGATATTGTGCTTGGCAATCATGCAGATTCGTTCTCGCGCTCGCGCTTTGGCGTTGCAGCCAGGTCCGCGTGGAATCTAACGATGGTGCCTGGCACGACCGTGTCCCTGCCTGGACCGAGGGATGTGACGTCAGCTCAAGGGTGCCTCGATTCGGAAGAACCCGGCCCTCAAGCCATGAGCCCTAACTAGAATAGGGTTTTTGGGGCGCTTTATAGTATAATTATGATAAGGACCCCCCNNTATAGGTAATTATGAAGGCCCCTACACACGGTGTCAGCGCGCCTTCGGCAGGACAAAGTTGGCATGGCAAGATCACAGCCTGATCCCAAGCAAGGGAGTCGATCTGGGGCGGAAGAGGGACCATGCAAAGCAGCAACAGCAAGATAGTGATCTAGTGAAAGTACCACGACTACTGGGTCAAACGGCAAGAGACAAAATAACATGAAATATGTCAAAAGAGTAGCAGTAGTGAGTCGGAAGGAATCGTATGGAGCAGTAAGGATAGCAAAAACGTGCAAGAGCATCGGATGTCTTCACCTCGGCTTCATAGGGATGTGCATGGTTGTACTTATTTGGATGGTTGCTGTGGCCTTTGGTGACAGTGTTTTGTCGCTAAAAATCGGTTCGCGGTTCGACAGTTGCAAACTGAGGGTAGTCGACATGCATGGAGGGTTTCAGAAACTGAGGGACCCTCCGAAATTGAGGTTTTGGTTACTTACCCTCTCCGACCCCGGTGGAGAAAACTGCTCAGTCGGAGTGATTGGAATAGTGAGGGGTTGGGTGGAGTCGGAGTGGTGGTAGCGAAACTCGGAGGAGGAACCGGGGCTGCAGTCAAAGTCTAGCCCACCAAGGCAGCAGCCAAAATTTAGCCCGACGGCGTTGAGTGATTGAGGAGTTTTATTTTATCACGACCCCTTGTAATTGTTGCGGACCCGTCGTCTTCCCATCATGTGGTCGGCCAAAGACTTGAGTCTGGTTTTATAAAGTTTATCGCAACGGCCCCCAAAGTCGTGGGAGCCCTAAAGTTTCGACACCATCGCATCGGCTGCATCTTCTCAACCCTGGGAGCACTCAGCACAGGCACCAACCTCTTCAACGGCGTTTTCTGGGAGCCGAAAGAGGAGGATCGCTTCAGCCACGATGCTCGCAAGCCAGTGCTTCCGGAGATTTGCCCTTTCGGAATTGTGGGTGCGACCAGAAACACGTACCTTACACCATGTTGTTGGTAGGAGCCCCGGAATAAGAGAGTGGAGTCGTAGGTGTCATCCCCGTCGTTGTGCTAGTGCCAGAAGTGTTTAAATCACAAGTACAAGACCCCTACGCAGCCCGCGCGTGCCTAGGCTTCAAGCATGCCCGGCCGGAGAAGCCTGCCAACCTCAAGATCTATGAAGCGCATGTAGGCCGCTGGGGCTGCGGGTTATAGGCCCCGAAGGGCTTGCGACGCCAGATGGCAGAGATTGTCCTACAAGACAGTATGATAAAGCGCAATAGCAACGTACTACCACACGATAAAACTTGTAATGCCAAAATAATTATGCTGCAGTAGAACATGGATTCATGGCACCCCACAAAAAGTTTTTAATTTAGTGACAAGTAAGACTTCAGCAACGAGGACGCAGCTGATGCTTTGTTTGGAGCCTAGGGGTTCTAATATGCTTTCAGATTAGGTTTGATGTGGATTCTTCAATTCGGAAAGCATGCTTCGAGGTGGTGTTGCTGTCTTCAAAAACTGGCTCCCAGTGTTTTGGAGTTGTATTGTCGGAGTAGAAGACTTCGGAGTGGTCAACTTTTCGACGGTCTGGTGAACTCTCTTCCAGTGCTTATATCATATTCTATAGTATAATATAATATAATATAGAAGCCCCCAGGGTACTAGAGCCCCTAGGGCCCTATATAGTAGGTACCTGGAGGGTTAGGGTAGTATAGAGTCGGCAATTTGACCGCACGACTGTGTGCACCGCTTTGGCAGAGAGTCGAAAACCCCAAACGCAGACCACGCGAACTTTAAACCGAAAGCCTTACAGCACCAAACCAAACAACCCTCGCTCTAAAGCCCCACGACCCTTCTGAGTTCAATAACCTGCTTTGCGCACGGAAGCTTTCACAACCAACGCCTTTCCTCTACTCTCCTCTAGAGGTCTGCCTGTACTCACCACCTTGAAGAAACCCTGTCACATCCGCAGAAACTCCTGGCAAAGCCTTTGACATGAACAGGCATGGGAACAGTCGAGCCGAAAGTCTCCACGTATGTCGAGTTTGCCGAGACGCTTGGACCTGGGAAGTAATTACAGGGGCGTTCTCACATAAAAGTATACATGCACTGTATATATATATATACACATAAATAAATATATATATATATATATATATATATATGTGTGTGTGTGTGTGTTATACACATATTATGTGTGCGTGCATATATACATATATGTATATGTTTGTATGCTTACAAATGCACTGACATACGTACATATATAGATGAGGCGGACAGGGAAGGAACCCGGTCTTGGCTACTTTGTTACTTTATCCGATATCCATTGTCGGTATCGATCTCTGTCTCTCTCCTCCCTCTCTCGGTGTGTGTCTGTCTTTCTGTATACATATGTATAGGTGTATATATATATATATACCCGCACATGTAAAGCGCCAGAACATCACGATGGATGAACAAGACAGTTCATAGAGGGCTATTCAAGAACAATCGTGCGAATAATTGTGGCTCCGGTGAATTCTCCGAACGCCTTGCTGTGTTGAGACAGCAGATGAAAATCCAGGACCAGGACAAGTTGTATTGGGCCCCCGGCTTGGCTTAGGCTTAGACAAGCAAAGCCAAGAAGCTGAAGTCTAGGCGATCTCTCAACAGTAAAGGGTTGAAAGCGACAGCAGGCGGCTTGGCAGCTTCGTGCATGTAAATGTCAAAGGCATGCTTGTGTGTATGATATTTATCTAGACACGTGTATGTAGAGGTACATATTTGTGATGTGATTTTACATAACGTATTGAGATAATGAGAAAGATATACATAATAAACATATATGTGTGTGTGTGTATGTGTACATACATATGCACAGATACACGTGTATGTGTGTGTGTGTTCCATCTGTATAAATGCAGAAAATCATGCATCGACGTTCTTCCATGCCAGATCGTATTTGCAACATGCGACAGAGTCCCGAAGTCCGACACTATGTTCCATTCCATGGTGCAGTACAACTTGGAGTTTGGCTTTGCTACCTTCCTGCTGCAAGCCCTCACGCCTGGCACAAAGGAGCCCTAACCCCGCCACCCTGCCCTTTGAGGAAAAGTGGGTGAAAACTTCACTGGTGTGTCTCCTTTTGCTGTAGAGGTGGTGATAGGATGTTAACTGCATGGTTGGTACATCCATGAATAGGTAGAACAGATTGGCTTAGCACACCCAGCACTCCTGCCCCCTGTCCTGCCTTGCGCCCAGTAACGTGCTTCCACGGATCAAGCGCATGGGCTACAACTGCGTACAGCTCATGGCTGTGGCCGAGCACGCGCACTACGGCTGCTTCGGCTACCATGCCCCTGGGCTGCAGGGGATCGCATCGGCTGAAAGACTGAAAGCTGTTCAGAGCAGGTAAGCCTCCTCTTGGCTGTCGCAGCTGTTTCCAGCTTCAAGCTTGGGTTAGTTTCGTGCTTGCAAAATCTACACCATCTCCGTCTTTCGTCGCCGGAATGCAGCGGCGTCAATGTGTGGCATTATGCTTCATCTTCATGCTGGCGGGGGCAGATGCGGTTCGCACCGTCGAGTCCGCGAACGTCATGCACTCCGTGGCGCTCCACAGCGGCCGCCGGAGCTCGCAGAGCTTCGAGCGCACGATGGCTGATGGCCTGGAGGTTGCCGGCTCTGAGATGATCCCTTCGTCGGATTCGCTAATGAGCCATCTGACTGCACTGAACACGAGTGCGCAGGATGTGCAAGATGGCAGAGGCTTTTGGCGAGTGAAAAACTGCATGATGACATGCCCCCTGATTTGGACGAAAATTATCTACCACTCTTGGCTGGCGAGATCTGATGCGAAGAAGATCGTGGCTGACTCCTTCGCAGCCGCCGACGATGTCGCCATGCTGCCAACTGTGAGTCAACGACTTGGAGACTCCTTCCGTGGGACTCTGCGCAAGACCGTCTGGACGTTCCTCAAGGTGACCTGTTTTAGAAGGATGTTCCAGCCAGTCAAGACCATGTCTTTTCTTTTCTGAACAACATTCTTGTACCCTCTCAGGGACTGCGTTGGGCAAGTCTAATGAATCTTGAACCCCCAAGCCGGATCCCCAATTTCCAAACCCCTGCACCTTATTCGACCCTGCCCAGGTGATAGACGACAGCGTTGTCCAGCGGATTTTGCTCGCTCTGTTCTTTGCACCGTTAGGCCGGGCGGGGGTTCGAGCATCGATTCAGCAGAATAGGCACCCCGAAGTGGCCCCGAAGTAAACCCTGAACCCCAAGCCCCACAGCCCCCAGGTCTGTTCCGAGTCCTGACGAAGATGTCTCCGCTTGGCTTGTGCTTCCTGAAGCAAGCGTGGAAGGACTTGGAGGCCAACGAAGACTACGAGTGCCTCGGATACGGTTCTGCCAATGAGTGTTCTTAGTTGTTGCGGGGGTGGTGGTGGTGGTGGTGGTGGTGGTGGTGGTGGTGGTGGTGGTGGTGGTGGTGGTGGTGGTGGTGGTGGTGGTGGTGGTGGTGGTGGTGGTGGGGGTGGCGGCGGCGGCGGTGGTGATGGTCGTGGTCGTGGTCGTGTTGGTCGTGGTGGTCATAATTGGTAGTGGTAGTGGTACTGGTAGTAATGGTACGTAGTAGTACGTAGTAGTACGTAGTAGTAGTACTAGTAGTAGTAGAAGTAGTAGTAGCAGTAGTAGTAGTAGTAGTAGTAGTAGTAGTCATATGTTCATCCGGAGTCGTTTCCATGCATGGAGCTCCAATCACCATGCCAGGCAGAAACACACAACTTGGTGGCGCTTCTTCCTGGCAGGATGCCCCGACCAACAACCAGAGACGGCAGCCTTTGAAGACGAGGCGTCCACAAGCGATCTCATGGGGTCCATGGCCGCTTGGCTTCTTCCGAGTGGCAGCTGGAGTTGGTGTCACGAAAAGACTCAGAGATACTATTTTTACAAGGATTATTACTGTTACTCTTCCTGTCTTACTACTACTGCACTGGTGCGAGTATTATTGTTATTACAACCGAGTAGACAGTGATGTACAGACTTGATTCGCATGCGATCCATTGGAAAGCAGGTTTATGCCTTGGCCAAGCCCGATGGTCTGGAAATGGAGGACCAGACAATCAAATGGGGTAATGCTTCGACCCACGTGCAGTGCGTCAGGAAACTGAGCCGGGAAGGAGCAATTGGGACGAGTTGGCAAGACTATGGTGTACTTGTGCGAATAACAAAAGTGCCAGCAATAACAACGGAAAGCAACATTTGCCCCCGCTCTGAACCCGTCTTGTCCAGTTGGTTCTGGATGGCCACGACAGAAAGTGGGCATCTCCTCATAGTCATAGTCCCAATGTAGTTATAGTGTAATGGACCCCGCACCCAACACCCAATTTTAATCTATCTCACACACATCGGACTGATGCCCAGGAATGGTCCACGCGCCGGATCATGATCGAAAGGGGCACCATCACATGGACCGCAGATTCGATTTGTAAAGATGTCGGTGTCGTCGACCAGGTGCGGGAATTCTTTGGCCACGAGAAAGTTTTCTCCCTGGAGTTCCTGACACAGCCTCCGGAGGGGGATACTGTGGAGCTGTTCAATGGCACGGACTGCATTAATTTTCAGAACCCGTACCGGCAGTTCACCTTCTGTGCAGAGCCAGGCTATACGATGCAGAAGGCGAAGCAAGTGATGGACGAGCATTTGGGCATCCTGGGTGTCGAACACCAGCTTTTGCAGATGACCGCCAAGGTGGAGAGGCTTATTGTAGCCAGCGGCGTTGCGCAGGGCGACGAGCGGGCTGAGGAGGAAGTGAAGGAGTTGGCCCAAGGCATGGATGACTCAGGGGACTCCAGTGTAGAAGGCCTGGCAGTTCAGATTGGCAACATTTCCGATTCCGAGGCACCCGAGGTCCAGAAAGCTAAGGAGATTCTGAAGCAGGTGCAGAAGGGCTCGTCTCTTCTTGCTCTGGGTGATGTTCACGGAGGAACTGCGCTTCTGCAGGAAGCATATGCAGCGGCCCACCGCCACAAGAAGCTCTCTGACATCATGCATGGCAAGGTTACGAAGCTTGATGCATCCGTGGAAGAGCCCGGCGCTGCAAGTGCCGGGGCAGCTGGCGGCATTTCGACCACGGAGCTCATCATCATCCTCGCCATTTGCGGTTTCGGGGCGCTTTGCATCGGCATTGGTCTCGCATTCGCCGCTAACAATTTCCTTGAGGTGGACTCTTTGGAATCTAAGGTGCGAGTACTTAGCAACGTGACCCGGGCGCTGCCACTGCCCCACGTAGCTTAGCTGGGCTGCGACGCTGCAAGCTTCGACTTCAGCTGGCGATTTCTGAGAAAAATGGATGCCGGATTGCCCGTGACTCCTTAGCGAATCTAAGCTCGTGAACACCCAACGCAGGCCTCCACTAGCAGTATAGCACATTCGAAGGGAGAGTTTTGTGATCGCACAAGACACCAGGTCACTTCTTTCTTCGCCCCAGCCAGTCGATCTGGAACGCCCGAGGACCGATGCGTGACACAAGTTGAGCAGTTCACTTGGGGGATACCTGCATCAACTTGTCGCACCTGCAGCCGCTAGGAGCTGAAGTACTTGGTGGACACAGCCCATGGTGTGATCCTCGGGCCAGTTCTCTTGCGAGCCTCACTGATTCACGGTATCGCAAGATATCGCAAGCAAAGGCTGGGTAGTAGCAGGATTTGCGTGTCGTTTGAGCGCCCACAGCTGGTTTCTACGAAGGCCGCTCCTGTTGATGCTGTTGCTGCAGTTCCTGATCCTGGTCCTATCACTGCTTCTGCTACGCTTCCTCCTACTTCTACGGTTGTTCTACTACCAGAGCCCTGCTGCTGCTGCTGTGCCGCCACCACCACCGCCACCACTACTTCTCCTGCCGCTGCTACTACTTACTACTACTACTACTACTACTACTACTACTACTACTGCTACTACTACTACCTACTACCTACTACCTACTACCTACTACCTACTACCTACTACCTACTACCTACTACTACTACTACTACTACTACTACTACTACTACTACTACATCTACTACTACATCTACTACTAC